ATTTAGTGAGAAATTCCTAAATGTAGTAAAAGTACAGTGCAGAATCTGTAGGAGCACACAGATGAAGACTTTGGCTCTTTGCAATCAGCAAACTTGGATCATTAAATGTTCAACAGGTAATTTGTCAGTGAGAGGAAAACTAAACATAACGTGTCGTGAGGTGTGAGGCCACCTAGATTCGGAGGGATGAACATCATTCTTGCAAAAGATGTTCCCTCATTTCATGTTTTGATGAATGAAAAATTCACATAAAAGTGCCTAAATATCTTCCTTTAACAACACCCGACTCAAGGACTACTTACTAGCTTTTTCAAAGTTTTTTAAAAGGTGAGCATGTGTCCTTCCCTTAAACTGACCCTCACGAGTAAAATCTTGCATAATAAAAAAAAACATTCTTTCCATTTTACCTAGTTCTCAGACTGTTCTCCAGTCAAATAGTGTCAGGGCCAGTAACCCTTTTGCAGCCCATTTGTGTCTTGAGTCCTTGGCACAGCGGTTGACAACCACTGTCTTAGAGGCTTCATATGGATGCTAATTGGTGTGCAGCAGAGAATCAGGACATGTGTTGCATCCCCTCCTCTCTCCTACCGGTCCCCTCTCTTCTTGTCATCTCCTATTCTCTTTCTTCGGGCACTCATCCACGGCTTCCACGTCTGCTGAGTTCCAATAAAGTTTTCTCCATATCTCCCTGTTGACTCTACCTAACATCTCATTCCATCAGTTCATTTTTATCCCCGCTCCCAACCTCAGTCTTTCACCTCTCTTTCCCACCTCCTCCCACTTCATCCTCCATCCCTCTCCCTCTTTAAAAAAAAATAATGGGTGAGAGATAAACAAAAATGGAGAACAGCAGCTTTAGTGTGGGAGGGCTCTGGTGTTAGAGAACAATCCCACTAACGCCACCAACACACACATCAGAGGCCCCTATGTGTGTGTTGTGTGTGTGTGTGTGTGTTTGTATGGATTGTGCATGCTGTGCCTGAGGGCAGGGAATTTTAAATCAGGCGTCCAAGGAAACTGATACCGCTGAATATTTGAATATTTATTCCTTATCAGAAGCTGGGATATTAATGAGGGAGCCGTGACTGAGCGGGTTATGGAGAGAGAGACAGAGTCTGGCGGATGGGGGACAGGCAGATGGTGTGTTTACTCCTCTGTTTTCAGGTCTTAGCTGGAAGAAAGCGCATCAGCTCAGCCTAGTGTTTATCCTCTGGAATTACACAAGACTGAACACATCTAACACGGATGAGGTGATGTTATGATGGCTGTATTCCCTGCTTATCTGCAGTCAATTCTTTTTTTTTTTCTAGCCCAGTTTTTGGATGCAGTCTCCAGAAATGAGGAAGGTAACCTGAGAACAAGATGGGAGAATCTGCTATAGATTCCTACAACAATCTTTGGGGAGAGCTTTGAAAATACAGGAAATATTGTAACAGAGATAAAAACAATATAAAATACACACTATAAATCCCTGCAGACATTTTGTTTCTTTTTCACTTCCTTGCAGAGAATTAGATGAGAAAATCAATATTACTCTCATGTTTTTATGAAGCTACAGCCAGGAGACAGTTAGCTTAACGTAGCTTAGCTTATTGGTTTTACACTTACATTTAACAGACAAATGGAAGTGGTATCAATTTTCTCATCTAACTCTGGGAAAGAAATACGTTTATTTCATTTAAATAAGTGAATAAGTGTAATTCCCAAAATGTCTGACTATTTCTATAAAGGACCAGTGTATCACAATATTCCCCTTTTTCAACCGTGAGGGAGAAACTACAGTAGCCACAAAACACACGAAAAATGCAAAAGGACCTATTTACATTCAGTGTTTGATTTGTCCATTCAGGGCTACTGTAGAAGGCGACTTGTAGCATCTGTTGACAAAAACAGCTCATTCTAAGGTGCATAAGGCCCAACGATTCTTATTTACAGTTGATTAAACACTAATGAAAACATATTTATGAATATTATATTCTGTTTCTGCCAATAAATCCTCCTAAATGTTTCACACTGGACCTTTAAAAGAACCAAAAGGCACTAACAGGTCAAACTCTATACAGATGTCACAGGAACTTTAAAGCACCTTCATAAGTGACACAACTTAGCCTTCCCTGACTCTTGGAGTCGCAGTCAAAGAAGCCAACATGTGGAACAAATCTCCCCTCCCTTTATCTCTTTTAACATTCACTCTGTTGGCCTGTTCCCGTCTTAATGGAACAATGGAGCAGCATTACCAGCGGCTCATCCTTGTGATCCTGTCTCCCTGGGGTCCCAGTCCTCTTCCAGTGGTGTGTAAATGTAGGTCGACTGCACTGTGATTTAGCGGGCCCGGGTTTTAGTCTAGATGAATTATCAACTCAGGCACTTGAGCCTGTTTACTGGTGTAACAGACAAGAACTGGAGGCACCTTTCGCAAATTGTCTCTTATTAATGATAGACAGGCAACTGACACAATTCAGTGTAAAGATGCTACACTGTAGAATTTTGAATTTGCATAAAATAACCTAAGTGGAAAGGAAATTAAGAAAATATTTATACTTGTTGAGGTGGAAAAGTTGGTGTATTGATAAAAGCAAAATGTGACAAAATATAATGGAAACAGATTTAGTAAATTAATCATGGCGTAAATGAAGCATGTGACTAAATAAACATAAATGCCTATTTATATCATGTTTTTCACATCTTTGTTTAAGGTTTGACTTTTTAAATTGTGTCAATTTGTTGTGCCCTCTTCCTCTGCAATGATTTAATCACACCTGACTGTACAATTAGCACCATCAGCTGTTTATCTCAATGCAACTCCTAATATTCACATAACAGTGGTGGAAGAAATGTGAACTAATTGTCTTAATATTTGGATGTAAACTTGACTATAGTGTCTCTGCGGTTTCTCAATAGGGACAGAAATAGTTTGACAATTTTTTGATTCCATGTTGAGTTATATGAGAATACTGACTGACCACTCTCATGTGCCAAATAAAGCCACTGCCAGCAGCTTGTTAGCTTAGCTTAGCTTATCTTAGCATAAAGACTGGAAACAGGGTAAAACAGCTAGCCTGATTCTGATCTACCCGCACCTTTAAAGGTCACAAGTTGTTTGTTCAATCATTACAAAAACTGAGCTGTAACAGTTCAAATGAGCTGTTTTACATTATGTGCTGAACTATTTCTTGCCCGATAACATAACACTAACTTCAATGTACAGGCACAAAGGTTATATCAGTCTCATCTAACTCTTGGCAAGAAAGCAAATAAAATGTTAAACTATTCTTTTAATATTACCATACCATACTTTATGTTTTTTTTTTATTATCTTGTAGCCATCTCAGTTATATTTCTTAATATTTCTGCAGGGACTTTCAGTGATATGTCTCTTTCTTTTTACTATAGAATTACCTCTGATGTTTGTCAGGGAAAAGAGTTCCCAAAGCATCATTTAACATTTTTGCAGGATCTATCGTCTCCCCTTGTTTGAAATCCTCTTTTTGTCAGCTTGTTGTTCACAGACCAGACATAGCTGCACAATTTATCACAATATTCACTACAGGCACAATTTCAAATTGCAGAAGGCTGCACTTTTTTCTCTGTGAGAAAATGTTTCAGACAGCTTCCTAAGCACGGTATTTTGATGTTATGCAGAATCTGTGGCCTGTAAACAATGTATTTTCAAAAGGGAAAATCATTCATTTTACTCAAACTAAGCACCCAGGCATTTTCTGAGCATCTTTCAAAAGCTGAGAAAGAAAAACCGTTCTGTTGTATTTCAGCCCATATCTCAACTGCAATATTGAGCAGAATGAAATGACAATAGGCCTGTGATTTTTTTTTCTCTGTCAGCACTGTGCAGCCCAGGAGCAGTACAGTCCTCGTTCCAAATGGATCGACGAACTACGATACATTTGTCTCCTTGTCTACATTTCCAGCCGCTAGTCCATTTATCCATCCATTTATTCACCCGTGTGTTGCAGCGAGCAGCGTTTTCATCTGAGAAACGGCTGAAAGAACAAAAAAAAGAAAGGAGAGAAACAGGGGCAGGGTGTTTGGAGCGGAGCGGAGCCTTATCCCTCTGACACACAAGCTCACTCTGATCCCTGGAACACAATAGAGCCAGCCCCTTGCACCCATGGGCCAGGCAGCAAATAATACCCATAATGCAGCATGTCTTTGACTGCCGGAATCCCCTGTGGCCATACTTGTCCAGCTTGTAGAGGACTTTGCCAGAGACGTGATGCCAGGCAGCAGCCTATAATGCCAACTTATAGATGCCAAATTCTGGCATGAGCCACACATTACTCTTTTTCTCTCATTCAGCTTGCCTCATGGACAGCGTGGGTTGCTTTTGTGCCTTGATTCGACATGGATGTCAGCTGGTCTCGTAAAGCACCAAAGTACCATTATAATGTATATACTGTACAGTGTACTGTGATGTGTTTACACCAGCATACAGACCCTCATCTCCTCCTTCACTCTGTGGCCTTGCTTAGAATTGAGTTATTCAACGCAGCCATGCCTGTCACACACAACAATAATGTGGCAGTGAAACTCGTGGTGGCTTAGATGAAGCAGTTCTCACACAAGTAATAAGTCCCATGGTGATGCTCCCTAAATAAAAGAACAAGGCACACACGTACACAGAGAGACTGCAAAGTTTCCCCTTGCACTCCCTTGAGCTCCCATCATCTCCCCTCAAAACAGCTCTGATGAGGGAAAACTGGGAATTTACCCACAGAAATAAAAGAGCAATTACATCTTAGATTCCTCTGAATAATTCATAAGTCATTGTTTGTGGGATGCTGCGTGAACATGTGTGTTTGAAAGAAATCGGGCAATCCCTCAGAAACAACACAACTGTGCTACATTTGTGGCCTCAAAGTTGAATGCTGGGAATTTAAGAAGACTCATAAACAGCTATTGGTTTCAACTGGGTCGAGCGGTGGTGGGCAAGTACATAGCTCCACAGCGCCACCCTGTGGCAAGAACAGAGCAAATCACTGACATGGTGAGTTTGTCTTTTTTATTTAAAATATACAGAGCTACAGCAGCATTTACATCAACCTCAAAAGTATGAAAAAAATGACAATTACGATGGCAGTTTTCATACACGCACACACACAAACAGCCAGCATATTCATTCTTTGTAATGAAAGCTCACAGATAAGCATACTGCATGCAAATACAGTACATGGAAATATAGCTGGACATAACTGTGCATTGTGTGCAATGGTTTTAATGCCTTCAGGCAATTAACATCAAATCAGGACCTTGAATACCCTAATCTGCCCCAGTGGTCTGAACCTAAAGCGGTGTGTGATATAATACGTAGGCTTACATAACGTCTGTCTGTAATAAGGCTTTACAGTAACGAATATGATAACACAAGAACCCAGGGAGCGCAGAGTCGATCCCCAGCTACCCCAGGTTATATTTACTGTCTGCACTTGCTTGCTGGCATGAGGGACCACAAGTCTTGCCACATATAGCATGTGATATGTGTGTGTCCTGTCTGAGAACCCACACTGGGTCTTCTGTTTATATGACTGTTATTTATTACAGTACACCGTGATGTATTCTTGGCTCTTGACTCTGTAAATACTCCGGAGAGACTCTTAGAATAAATAATTTCACACACCTAACTCCCAATTTAGAAATATAGAAAAAAGAAACACCAGATCTTAGTCCAAGTTTGTTGACTCTGGCACACAAACTTTTTCAAAAGGGAATGATCACTGCGATTGTCAGCTGCTATCCAACATTCTCAGTCCTGCATCTCAGGAGCAGACAGCCAGTATCACAAAGTAAGGCACTCAATTTGGAGACCACTTTTAAGTGTAGAAGACTGAAAAGCCTTGTGTGTCTTTTCCTCGTGACATGAAATGCATTTTTAAAGCAGCTTGTGACTGAAAAAAATGCTTCATAAACACGAGTCTGAGGCTGTTTTTACGTTTCTTTCCCATTTCCCATTAAATAAATTTGGGGACAGGAATCTCAGGGGACATTATCAAATGCAAATGAGCGGTTAAGTTTAACAAAGCATTTGGATGAGCTAAAACATCAGGTATGAGTGTCTGCCACAGGCTTTAGGTGACATGTAGCCCAAACAGGAATCAGGCAAATTCTCATGCCGCGCCTCTTACACGGCTCTACATCAACACTCTTCGCCAGTACAGTGGTTCCCATCAAGGATCCATCCCCATCCAGCCATTCCTGATTTTGGTCCTCTCAGCTCGTCGGAGCGTGCGCTCATACTCGTCTCTTCTTCACCGTCTCATTCAGTCAGTCACACATTGATCTTCTTCAGCTGTTCATATGTGAGGAAGAACTGAATAACAGAGTAAAGGAACACAGACAAGAGGAGTGGATGTTTTTGTAGAGCAGAATGGGAGGCTGACTGAGGAGTTCTGGCTCTTTCTGTACTTCAGCTCAAAGCCTCCCTTGTTACCTCAGTCTACTCTGTTGTAACAAGTCAATAATCTCATTACATTTTTCAGGCCTGGTTGGAGTTGATGACAACCTGCCAGCACTTCTGTTCCCCCTGTAACTGTTTGGCATTTGCAGAAAGGTTTTTATAAAGTTCATTCCCCACCCTTCCCCTCTTGCTCTTACCCCCCATTGAGCCCCCCCATACGTCCTCTCTAACTGAGGTAGTAGTTGCACAAAGTTACATAAGAGACTTAGCTAGCATTAAACTAAGCGGTCCTCCGCTGGAGCATGGCTTGGATTTCAATGCGTCACTGAATGCATAACAGAATGTACAACTTTCCGCCGCTGATTTCTCCAGATCACAAGATATTGCATCACAGAGGATATATGTAAACAGACTACTGCACTAATGAGATGGTTAAAGGATACAATGATGTTCCATGGTCCCAGGCGGAGCCAGTTGGGAAAGAAACCTTTGTAGAGGGCCATGAAGCCCTCGGAGCGCCACGTCTGAAATGAAAACAAACATGTTAAAAACCCATTTTTATCTTATTATCCTCTGATGATTGTTCTAAAGTCCTCTCTAGGCAATTTTAACTGGGATTGGGAAATCACTGACATTAAGGTTTGATCCAAATATTCAACATTACAACATTATATTAAATATGAATCATCATAAAACATCATAATCAAACATAAACACACACACACAGGCAAGTCTTCATGGCAATAGGCCATCTGCATCCCATAAAGTTGTGGGACTCATGAGAGACAAATTAAAAAAAGAATAGTTAAATTTCCCAGAATACAATGATATCTTTTCGTTAGTTCCATCCTGCCTTGCACACATCTCATTAGTTCTCATTAGTTCTTGTCTCAGACTTTAAAAGCTCCCTCACAGAAGACAACTATTTTCACCGGCTGAATAGTAGCGGCCATGACGGATAAACTGATCTTTATTTGCAAAACCAGTGGAGTGCTCCTTTGATTTAGTCCACTACAAACTCAAGTGTAGTGTAACTACAAGTGTAACTAATTGTCTCCATCCCAGAACTGTGACTGACCTGCACGATACAGTCCAGTGTTCCCTGGTAGAGAGCTCCTCCTCTCTGGTTCATCATGCGTGTCCGGACTACGTCCACAGGGTTGGAGGCCAAAGCCCCCGCCAGGCCACACACAAAGCTGGACCTGGGAGACAAGACACTCGTTGAAATGATAATCTGTAGAACTTCACTTAATCTCTGGTACTAAATGGTCATTGCCGTGGTGTGTTTGCTGCCACAAATTTGCCATGTATAATTTCTTAGTTCCGCTTAAAGACATTTAAATCTGTCTTGCCCAGACAAGCAGGAGACAGCAGGAGATTCTCCAGGTGACTCGGCAAACTTACAAGAAGTGCGTGTACACGGTGTCCCCCATGTAACCCGATAGGATCAGATGCTTCTTGGTCATATCATAGACCGGTAGCTCAACCCCGACCACGATGGCTGCCCGCTGAGCTGTCAGAGAGACGCCCTGATACAGAAAGAGACAGAATGTTACAACACTGACTATTACAGAGCTGTGTCTGTGCTACCTGAAACCCTCGCAAACGGAGGTCATTTATCAATACAAGTGAAGCATTTTTTAAAGCTTTCTGTACCTTCCACAGTCCTCTTGTTCCCTCCTCTTGGTAGATGTTGATGAAGTTGCCCATCATGCTGCCCTGGATCACACTTCCCTGAGCCTGCATGCGGATCTGGAAGGGCAGACAGAGGTCATGTCCATAAACTTGAACTTGAGACAATAAAAGCATGCACAACAAGTGTGGAATGCTGTAGGTTGACCAAGCCAAGTCCGGGGTGTATTTATCAGCCTCCCATCAGAATGCAAAGTCAAAAAAAGTTAGTAGGGAACTTTGGCCAGCACAATGTCATAAAGTATTTTCTCAATCCACATTTCCAGGAATTCCCCAGCCCCTGCTTGACTTGTTTTCATTTACAATGGCTGCTGTTTACAGATCAGCTTTAGGCTGTCTGGCTTCATGATGACTTGGCGGGCACAGCCAGAACACACCGTGATGAAAACGCAATGTTCCAAACCTGCAGCCACATCCACGGGTCTGTTAACCTCTTCTTAACAGGGCAAGCGAGAAGGAGCCAGGCAAAGCCTTATTAGTGCAGATAAGCATATGGACACACACACATCATATTCATACACTCATATCGGTTACAGAACACTATGTTAAGCCTTAGAGGCTTCTGTCTATAAATAATCCACAAGTGGGGTCTTAATAGCACCTTCACTCCACTCGGCATGTGATCAAAAGAGCAGAACTACAACCAAGGAGCTGCAGTTAGAGATCTGATCTAGAAGGGCCACATTAATCCCTCCATTTTTCAAAACAACTACCTACATTAAACACAGTCCTACTCAAGACTGCCTGAGGAATCCCAGGTGCACGTGTAAAAAGTGAAAGAAGACTGCTCTGTTTTTCAGTGGAGGATTTCTGCATGACTTCCAAAGAAACTGTCAAACCTGATCTGCTGCTTTAGAGAATAACCAACCGCGACTTCATTAGGACAACAACAAGGAGAATCAACACAATCTTCATGTGTGCAAACAGCTACCTTCAGTACATCAGTGGGATTGGCGATGGAGGAGGAGATGACTCCAGAGAGAACACCACACATCACATTAGTCAGCAAGGTCTCATCTGAAAGAGGAGAAGAGTGGGAGGCAGACTGTAACTGTGAACAAGCAGCATTTGATACCATGCATCAGGCCGTCTGTTGCAGTTCATCATTACAATGCTTTACAGAGGCACAGACAATTACAATGAGCGCTTAGCTTGATAAAACGAGGAGACATATTTAGGTCACACGAACATCTGCACCTCCCCTTCAAGAGGAATGTGCCCATGTCGATGGGGGCGGGTCACTGTCTGCCCAAATATGTGCGTTAAGTGCGCGTGAGAGGGAGAAAAAGAAACTGGGACTCACCCTCTGGTCTGTCAACCAGCAGTCGCTTCAAGCTCTGGTATGTGCCAATTTTTATGGTCCCATAGGAGGCCTGGCGCAGCATGGCAGGAGCTATCCTGTAAAAGTCAGGTTTATTTTCATCACCCATTAACACAGTATCTCAGCGGACCCACAACTGTGGCTCCTGCCAAAGCCTTTAAAGACAATGAGTGGGAAAAAATCCTCCCAAAGTCTAATAAAACCGTGAGACAGGCCCCCTTCTCTGGATAGATGGGGGTGCAACAGGGTCGAGGTAAAGCTTAGTGGGACTGTGTCTGTTACAAAGAACAGGAAGTGTACAGAAAAAGAGGAAGTGTAAACATATAGAAGAAGTTGGGTTACAAACAAATACTTATGTTGTTATTACAAGGTTTGGAAGATTTGGACAAAGCAAACACACACACTGACCCTGAATACAGTGCACAGAGCCCCTCCTCTCTGCATATCCTCACTATGGCATGGAGCATGCCTCTGTAGCGGATCTCTCGGTATTTGCTGTCGCCCACTTGGCCTTGAACTTGAAGACGCGTCTTGGCCAGGTCGATTGGGAAGGTCCCTGCAACACAAACCATGAGACACTACCTTTATAAGACTGTAAGCAGAGGTTTAGCAGTAATCCACGGAGCTCGGCCTCCCCGCCGCTCCTCTCATCACTCACCGCATTCCGCTGTCACAGACGCCAGCCCGCCGAAGACAAAGGGCTTCCAGTTGACGTTAGACATTTTCTCCAGCCGTGTAGCGACTCACAGTGGAAAACCACCCAGCAGAAGCGAAGGGGGACTGATATTACAGTGTGCAGCTAATACTTTGAGCGAGCAGCGGCGTTTCAATCCCTGCCGGCGTTTCAGAAGAGTCCAGCCCCGCGTGCCCCTCCTGCTGCCGCCGGTTTTACACGAAGCCCCGCCCACCGCTGCTTCCACTGGCCGGTCCCCGCTCTCCCCGCCCACCGCCTGTTGCTTAGCAACCGTGCCAGACAGCAGAGAGGAGCTCCGAGAGCATAAAATAGGCGACATTGTTGCTCACTTTAATTACTTTTCTCCACAAAAAAACAATTTAATTACAATGTGAGGCAAAAAGTCTAAATCTGTATCAAATTTTAGAGCTTTCTCTGGTTTGAGATCACATTACTAAGGATTATTTGAAAGCAGTAACCAGTAATGAAAAGGTCAAAAGTGTCTGAAACTCATGAAAATAAACATAGTGAAGTTGTCCCACCACATAAACAAACAAATACATAAATAAATATTTATTAAAATTAATATGTATAAACCTGAAACTACTTGTAAATTCAATGCCCTGTGCTTTCCTGCCTAAAGAGGATATGAGCTCCAGATGTTGAGAGTGGGTAAAAGAAAGTTTCTGTCTTCTCAGGAAACACATTACCTATAGGAGCACAAACTGCAAGTTCACTTGCAGTGACATACTCATACAACTTACAGTACACTGTATGACCTACAGAGTATGTTTGTAGACTCATGTTTATTAGGGATGCACAATATGGATTTTTTTCTTAGCCAATTCGATAACTAATAATTACCTGCTTCTCCGATAACCGATAATTTCACAGTTCATAACCTGTAGTTTTTACACACCTGATGGTAAGAAAGGCTAAGAGGCTCATAGAGCATACGAAATATACTTTATTAATCCCCTATTGGAAAAAATTGTTCTTTTCACTCTTTTATACACACACACACACAGGCTGAAAATACACACTTCATGCACTTGTGATAATTGTGATAATAATAATTTATAATATAAATTTCCCATTGACGGCTAAAGGCTTTACTAACCTTTATGTGTTTCTCACACAGAGTGGGAGCTCTAACTCATACTTCAGTGAATTAAACCTATGTGACAAGGTAACATAAGTAACATTAAATAGACTGATTCTTCCTAAGGTTCACTTGCATCTCCTGGTCAGAAGCTTGATGCAAAATGTAGGATGTGTTCTTGGCATTTTTTATTTTCTTTATCATCTTCCCTTTGGAAATGGACAACTTTGGGTGGTGTTTGTTGGCTTTGACCCTCTTCAGATTCATCCATTTGGCAATTTCTGTAAGGACCTTGTCGTGCCTCCACCTGTATCGGCCTCGTCTAAGTGCTTTGGGACATCCAGTCAAAATGTGATTTAGGATGCAAGAAGTTGCTCCACACTGTTTCCACTTAACTGAGAGCTACTCCTATTGTTTATTGACAAAAGTGTTATTATGATCAACGATACGCAATAAAGAATTAATTAAGTTGAAGAATAAACAATAAAAAACGATAAAGGAATGAGACAAATCAAATTAAATGACAGAGAGTTACTGACAGGTTCATACAGGAGGTGTCACCAATAATCCTTGGTCATATATAAACAGCATTAGCACAGAAATAGGAATGTACATTGCATTACATATGACAGCTAATAAAAATAGACCATCTGTAAGTGTATCACGCATGTATCATGGTCCTAGCATCTTCTTCAGTCATCTCCACAATAGGCATGAGTGCAGGAGGAGTGTGAGGGCGCAGGTGGAGACCACTGACCCTGTGTGTGTCTGCCTGGTCAGCGTTAGGTTGTGATATTCAACCCTGATACCATGTGCTGAATAGGCAGAGAAATTTAGGTCAGGCACACAGATTCTTTCTTTAGGATGAACCAGGACTTACTGGAGGGAGCAGAGGTTATATGAATGGTTGAAAAAATAGTGTGTATCAGTGTCACTGAAGAACTGAGGATCCAAGAAGCTGTTTAACAAGTACAAGCTACCACTCAAACAATTTTACCAAAGGTCTGAGTGTGACACTAATAAAAAACTGTTGACAAGCATCTTCAACAACATTCCTGTCATATCACCTCAGTGTTGGAGGAGCATTACACAGTCGCCACTAAATAATGAATACAAAGACTACAGACCTTCTTTCAGGTCTTCTTAAAGCAACTTCCTTGAAGGACTATTCCCCTAACAGACACTACACTCATTGTTTAGTCAACAAGCCATTTCTTCAGTCAGTCAATACGCCTCTTTACTCTATCAATGAATCAATATGTCATTATATCATAAGGGGCAACATCCAATGCCAATACTTCATTATGTTAACAACATGCCTCATGGCATCATGTCAATGCCAGTATGTCCTCATTCTATTGTAATGTAATGTGTCATTTTGCCAATATGTCACAGTGTGCTCATGTGAATTAATATCAATACGTGTTTATGTTTACGTGGTGCTACACCTTTTGTTTAATGTGTGGATGTGGGGGTTTAAGTCTCTGAGTCTAATCAAATTGCAATAGCAAGTTTTAACAAAAAACATAGAAAAAACACAGAAAAAAAGTGGACTAATTGTAGCATTAAAGAGCAGGTTCATACAACAGTACTCATCACATTCGTCGTGCTGTTAAGACACCAAAGCAACAACACAGACTGTGGACTGTTCTCCAATGTACTGCTGACCAGAGTTATTCTAGTTTTGTGTTTTTCATCAGCTTTTATTTATATTTTGTTTTCAATTCGGTTTAGTCCCAGTTAGTTGTGGCTATGATTGTTTCAGTTTAGTTTTTATTGTTTAAAATGTTTAGTTTCAGTTTAGTTTTTTATTAGTTTTAGTATTGTCAGTGTTTTATTATAATATTGGGGGTATTTGTATTACAATACAAACATATCAACTCAAAGCATGTAGACATCCCAGTCTCAATAAACACTCCTCATGCTTGTTGTATTGACAAATGTGACCAAATATCTAAGCTTTCATTTCTTTTCCAAAGTCTAGTTTTTATTTTCATTTTAGATTAAAAACAAAAAAAATAGACCCCTAGTTTTAGTTTTTAGTTTAGTTTTAGTTAATTATAATAACCTTGCTGCTTAGACTTTTGGACATGAGTGAAATATGTGATAACTGTCACCATCGCAAGGGTTTTTCTGAAAATGTGGACAGTGTCAGACATGTTTTATGGGAGGAAGTTCCAAAGCTGCCACATATCTAAAAATAATCTTTGAACATAGTGAGATGAGAACCTGTAATTAGATCTAAACAAACACACACACAAGGAGACATCCAGTTCTTCTGTGTTCTACTGTAGTTTTATCCCACTGCCACTAGAGGTCAGAACAACACTATTGTAATACTCCTGCAACCAAGGCCTGATTATTACTGACAGCACTAACTAGCAGTGAAGGCTCTGGTGATTGTGACCCAACCTTTTATATATCACAAACAGGCTAATCAATCTTTACCTAATGAGAGGACACTATCTATACAGCTAATTATGAAACACATATGTTTGAATGGCACATACAATAGATAGTGGCTCTCTGTGGGATGTGATTTTGTGAGGATGACATGCTTGTCTGAGTGTACGTGTGCTCTGCTTATCAAAACAAATTTTCACAGGAAGAATATATTGCTTGTGTAAATACCTCCGCTCCATCTTATCTGTTTTCCATCACATTTGTCCTTCTGGTCTCAGCTTCTGGGAAGCATTGGGTCTATTCTCTCGACTGCAAGACATTCATCTAAGGCACATTTATTATGATCATATGCTAGTTGTATTGTTTGATTAATGGGTTTGCTATGGGTCAGTAACCTCAGTATTGCCATCAGTACATTATTAACGACCAAGGAGAAAGAGGAGCTGTGTGTATAATTGTGTACATTCCTGTGTGTGCGTGTGTGGGGCAAGTGCACAGACGAATGCTACACAGCATCGACAAACGGAAATAGATAAATGGAAATATTGCAGTTTTATCTGAAACCAATAAGCAGGGGGAAGTGTGGCACACCGAAAAATGGCCACATATAATGTGATTTGTCATAAGGAGCCTGAGAACAGACCTGGGATAGAAGAGGAGTGGATATCTGTGTTTGGTGGTATAGAATAAGAAAAGAGAATACAGTTGTTATTTAGGAGAAGAAGTGAGAGTGCACAGGTATATTTGTCATCTGTTTGATCTGTGTAGGCCTAGAAGCACATTATCTACAGAAATATTTGTTTTATTATTGTGGAAAAAGGCTGTACTGCTTACTAAAGCGAGGCATACATGAGAAAATTTGTATGACTGCTGCTTTCATATGTTCACGACACTATACACACGTAAAAATCCCACCCACACACTCATTGATTGTGTTATCCCCTCGCACAAAGTACATTGTGCTGTTATTGTGTCAGCTAAATAGGGAGCACTTGTTTTGTGCTCACTTTGAGTGACTGCGAGAACATCGTACTAATGTCACTGAGCATCACTTGACTCGTGTTTTACACCAGCAAATCTCTGCAGAAAAATGTGTGTGTGTGCATGTGTGTGTACAGTAAGCGTTACTGTAAGATATAGACAGTAAGTTAAGTCAACACAGTACATGTGTGACAGAGGATGTAGCCTATGTGGACTCAATTAGATACAGTATGCAGTTACATAACCCTACACTAACTGTAGGAAACACCCCTATAGCCAACCCACACAGTCCTAAAGAAATAGTTTAACATTTTGGGATTTTATACACTTTCATGCCAAGAAGATTAGTACCACTCTAATTCCTGTATGCTAATTTTAAAGCTACAGCCAGCAGCTGGCCAACTCAGTTCAGCACAAAGACTGGAGACAGAGGGAAACAGCCTGTCTCTATCCAAAGGTAATCCACCTACCACCAACCAAAGCTCACAAATTAACATGTTATATCTTCATTGTTTAAAACCACTAAGTTTGTACACTCTCATGTCTGTCCGTTAAATATTAAACAGCCAGAAGACGGTTCCCTTAGTTTAGCAAAAAGTAATTTGTTGTTGTTACACAAATAGAGATGTAACATGTTGATTAATGAGCTTTAGAGGTAACAATGTTCTCTTTTCAACTTTTGGTATGAAAGTGAATACGCACATTTCC